CCGATAATCAATATCTTAAGGATATATTTCTACAAAATCTTGTATTGATAACGTATGATTTTGTTAATATTTATGGACTTTCTCTTTTTGTAATTTACCTTAGAGTGCAGTATTTTTATTATATTGTTTGTGTTGTTTTTAATACCGATTTGGGGGCTTCTGTGCCGAGTGGTCTAAGAAGTTACTACTGTAACCACTAGCCAGTCCACACTGAGGTTGTGAGTTCAAACCCCGCTCAGGCGGGTGCACTCGACTCCAATCTTAATTCACTAGGATTGTCAGTTTCACTATCGAAAGTCGGTGGTTTTCTCCGGGCATTCCGGCTTACTCCACCAATAAAAACTGGCCGACACGAAAAAGGCCAATAGCGGTGCTTAAAAGTGGCGTTAAAACACCAAAAATCAAATTTAATACCGATTTCATTTTTGTATTATCTTCTGTTATTGAATTTCCGTGTTAACTTTAGAATTCAAAAACATTTATATGAACATACGAGATATGTCAGAGTGTTGCGTAAAGTAAAATTAAGGATTGAGATTGACTTTAAGTTGGAGTAAGAGTAAATGTAGTTGTATTGAATACTTCATAAACATACATTTTTTGTTGAACTACTCGTCGTTAATGAAAAAAATATTGATGAAATATTGCGTGGTTTTTGTTGCTTTGTTAAAAAATGAAACGAAAGCAGAGTTCAAGGAAAACCTAATTGTCATATCGTCAACACCATACTAAACAAAATATAAGATAAGCTATATTTTGCGGTCATATTTCTCAAAAATCATGTATTTTAGAGTAAAAAAAGACACGGAGCCTTGGCTCACACCGAGCAGTAAGCTATGAAGGGCCCCAAAATTTACAAGACGTGTAAACCCATTCAAACATAGAAAGACACACTACAAAATATCAATAGGGATGACTTAACTCAATCAAAAGATATATTAACACAGTCAAGTGAACATACACTGAACGAATAAGTTTAATATATGACACAATGTAAATACAAAATAAATAAAATAAGGGACGAATAAATAAAGGCAACAGTAGTATACCTCCGTGAAATAATTTCAGAAAGTCAACCATAACCTTGAACAAATAACCTTCCCGCCAAGTAGAATAATATACACAGGAAAAAGAAAATAATTTTGTTGTAAGGTATACAGTATAAATGGAGAACGGAAATATTTTTTACAAAATAAATAATTCTGTTGCTCATAGTACGAGAAACAGAAGTGAAAATGTATAGTCATACTAAACACTTATCAAAGCTGGTTGATATTTAAAAAGAGCGACGAGATCTAACCATAAATAAGTAAACATTAAATAACAGAAACATTACAATTGTATCAATAGGTAAAATTAACACGAATGTACGATTTGATAGTACTCGCAGTTACTGAAAGCTAGTTAAAAGCCAAAATCAATTAATAATAACACAAATCATGCATCCGAGACTAAATTCAACTAACATTCATCTCAAGGATTTAGCGTTTTAACGCCGTGGACATTAAAAGAAGTCATGACGTGTGCAATGCCAAAAATAAAAGTATCGACAGGCTGTATGATAATTAGGAGTTAACCTTGAACAAATAAACTTCCCGCCAAATAGAATAATATATACAGGTAAAAGAAAAAAACATTGTTGTTAGGTATACATTATCAATGGAGAACGGAAATATGTTTACAAAATAAATAATTTTGTTGCTCATAGTACGAGAAACAGAAGTGTAAATTTATAGTCACACTAAACACTTATCAAAGAATGTAGGACAGAAAGTCACAAGACAAACAGTCACGGACAAAAAGACACAGGACAAAAAGTCACAATTCAGTTTCGAGATTATTTTTCTTTGAACAAGAAAACGCTAATTTAAAAAAAAAGATTTTTGTTTTTTTCTTGAACTATTATATATGAAGCAACTTTGTAATTAAAATTTATTCAATTAATATCAATAATGATCAAATAATTGTTATGAAAACAAAATGTCAAAGTGGGTTGGTACTTAAATGGCTTCATTGTGCCAAGAAATATATCCTTTGCATGATTAAAATTTAATTAATTTTCATTTATCAAGGCTTATGAACAATTTACTAAACTTAGAAATGAGTATATATAATAAAAAGAAGATATTTTAAGATCTTTCTCTTATATATTCAAACAATTGACAACAAATTATTTGTGACTTTTTGTCGTATCAAATTTGTGTGTTTATGTCCTGTGACTTTCTGTCCGTTTACCTTATCAAAGCTGGTATATATAAGAAATACAGATACAGTGGATGTGTATTTATACATACAGCTTGAAAAACAAATACAAATTTAGTTCTGTTTTAATTTGCTGATGACAAAATCGATATTTGTGCCAATGTAAACTATATTCAAAGATCTAATTACAACATTTGTAAGATAACCTTTACTAATAAGTTTGTTTAAAGGTTCGACGAGTTTACCTGTTTACATGTACACGTATCACATAGTGATTTCAGCGCTTTTGGTACAATATTACCGTACAATTTAGGATATGAAATACCGTTTTTAAAAAAGATTTCTACAGCCAAATTTACTAATCAAATATTTGTATCTGTGAAAGAATTTAGTAAAAGTTTTAAGTAATTGATGGTAACGAAATCCCTGACTTAATAATTTACCAGTGTATTGTTATCCACAGTGGTGGATGTTAATATTAACTATGCCGTCCTGATATTCCATACCGTTGATTATTAGAAGACTCCGCTAAAATCTGTCCATTAGTTCTACGGTTGACAGTAGCATCTATTTTTGAGACTATGTTCCACCATTATCATGATTTATATGTACATTGTTGTAGGACATTACATGGCAAACATATGTTGCTAGGAAGATGGTGTAAACATATTTTTGTTTTGTTTACAGTAGTTTATAGTCTTTAATATTTCTTTCATTTTATATAGTTGTTTATAGAAACTGGGCTATTCTTATATATTATCAGAGGCATACATCGGTTGGGGCAGCTGTTTGACTTTTCATGTTAAGACATTTAAAATCAAACAGCTTTATTTTCGCTTTTTATGCCCCACCTTCGCTCTTATTATATCAGATGAACCAATCACTATTTACATTCTAGTCATATGCATGGTTTTACCATATTGGTTACATAAATAATTTTGATATTTTTTGTATTTTATAAAATTTGTTTTTGATATCATATTGTACATGTGTTCTCTTGTTTGATATTGACATTTTATACTAAATGCTCATTTTCGACATACAATTTGCGTTTGGTTTTATTTAGAGCGAACAAGCTCCTGTATGCCTCTCTGTATATTGTTGTTGTAACCGTATTACATTGGCGGGATCATAAGTGTGTCTTATAATAATTATTTTTGTTTTGATGCAAAATATTTAAGTTGAATCGTGTAAAAAAATTTATATAATTTGCCGTTAAATTATAAAGTTTGGTTTGCAAGGAAACACAGATAATGATTTGACAAACAAGTGGCATTACATTTTGTTAGATTCAATCAGTGTATACATATATAAATTTGGTGTTTAGCAAGTTGAATCAGAAACATAAATAAATTGAATATTCATTATGTTTTTTGAGTTTATCACTGCATTTATACTCGTTTATAGGCAACATAATATGCTCGAAGGACCTAAAATGCAACCAATTTCAAATGGTAACTGGCATAGAAATTAAATCAAATTTGGTTGTTGTCAAAACAAAATGTGTCTGACCTGGCCCACCAACGACACTTTTGGAAATTGAATTAAAATTATATTAATTTTTTGCTGTTATTTTTCTCTAAGCCGTTTTTTTTTTGTGTTTTTGTTTTCAGGTTTTTAGGTGTTTATTTTCCTTATATAGTGTATAATTTTTGATTATAGTTTTTTCATGTAAATAACTACGCTCAAAATTTTGAAAAATCGGATTTACAAGAACTTAAACCATAGGCCTAAATAGATCGTCGTAGTTTCAAAGTGATAAAAAACTAAATTTAGTCGGACTTTTCATAGCACTAACATGCCGTCCCTTTGTAAAAATTACACGTCAAACAATTGTCAAACAAATATAAAAAGTCAATGTGTCTATAGGAGTTAAAGGCAGATTTGCATGTAGAAACTGTGGACTCCTTTATTTCAATCATAAATTTAATTTCTTCAAAAAACATGCTATCGACAACTTTGAGCTTTTTGTCGATTTCTGGCAGTTAAATGACTACATTTTCCCAACATACTAGCATTACGAGGATTACTGTCTTCAGGCGCAAACATGTGTAAATGCATTTTGAATTTTGCATTTATTTATTGTAACAAGAGGGCCATGCACTGACAGCTTCGCCAAATTTTAATGTTTGTTTGGCATCTATATATCTTGTGAAAAGTCTTTAATCATGTCTGTATCAGCAATGCTAGCAAGTCGTTATTGGGAAAATAATAATCTGAACATCGATTACATGTACTCGTAATTTAATGGATACCAGCTAAATATAGGATGTATTTGTCGATTACTTTTCGATTATTTTCGTAATTTCGTATTAATAACTTATTCAGATCTGTTGTTGTTGCAAGTTGCAGAATGTTAAACAGTCAAGAAGATGACTCCATGCATGACATTATAAATTTGCTATTACTATCTATAAAATTAGCTGAACAAATAATTTTACCTTTTGATGATCCTATATATGTTTATTTGTTCAAAGACAACTTAAAACATTGTTATAAATTATGTTCATATATACCTGTCAATAATGAGTAAAAATAACCACAAAGTATGTCAGCAAAAAATGTTCAAAATATAGAGCAAATGGCTTTAAATAAAAGAAGTGGTTGATGCAATAGTCCATCCCATGGCATGAACTTTTTCACCACTCTATCTAGGTAAAAACAATAGAACGATTAAATTTGCGGTCCTCTGTAAGAATTTGTATCTAAAACAACAGTCAACATAACATTTATAGAAAATCCTTTTTATGATTTTGTTAAGTTTTTGATTTCATCTTTAAATACGTTGATCAGCATAATTGTGTTTTATTTACTTTATTATTTTGTTCTACATTGTAGCATGTAGTTGACAGAAATTGAAAACTAAGGATTTGCATAAAATCATCGACTGTAATCAATTACATACACCGATTTTTTATTGGTTACACAACAATCCTTCTAATGATCGATTATTATTCGAAAGCTTTGATCGGCAATCAAGCTGAAACCCAATGCCCATATAAAACGGCACCTTCCAACACAGCTAAACCAGGTTCAGGTGGAGCAAAGACTGTCATACCTGGAAATGCATCTTTCACTGCCGACTGCATTATGGGAGACTTTGAAAAACTTCCGACCATTAATATAGTGTTCACATCTTTTAAATGGCTTTTAGTCAATATGGACTTTATGTGCTTTATCAAATGTGTCTTTGGTTCATAGTACAATGCACGGAAACAAATGGCATCTATTCTTAACTTGTCTGCGCGCCAAGTTATTTTGCCTTCATATGCAGTCTGTTTTATTACATCTCCTATTTTTTCTTCCGTATCTTTTTCAAATGACTCTAGCAAGCTAAAGGGGACTGCTACCGTGACCTTGCTAATGGATTCGTTTGAAATGCTCGTCTTCTTCAATTCAAATTCATTTAACATTTCTATTACTTGAAGTTTGTTTTCCTTTTGAAATTTTCTGAAATGATGTGCCCCAACAAACTTAATAAGAAGCTGATTGAATGCTTCATCTATACAGGGACCGACCCATGGACAACCACTCGTTGTTTGTAGCTCTAGAAGGTTACCATGTGAGTCCTTTTGATGGAATGTTATCTCAGCTGTTCCATCTGCATAAAATGATTCTAAATATCAGTTTATATATAGCATTGGAAGGAAAGTAAAGTGACTGTGCATGTTCCTTTGTCTGCTTTTGTAACTAATGTGTTCCAGATGGAACCTTCTTTAATATATATCCAGATTATTATGATCAACAAATTAGGTAAACATCAAACAGTATTAAGAGATTATGTATGTACTTAACTTCGTCGAAAATTAAACCTGAGATTTGATCATGCCATAATGAAAGATTGATTATATAATTATCCTAAGTTGATAAGACTTAGTAGAAATATGTCAAATAGACCACAGCTAATCAAAGTATTGGTTATTTCTTGCATGCTCTTTTTGAATAAGTTGTTATCATGCTTATTTTCATTTATCTTTTGGTTTCAAAACTCTTTAGTCCGATCGTTCTGAAAGTAAATGTATTGATGTTTTTCTGATGAAGCAAATCCCCTAGATTTGTACTAACATGAGTTATACCACAGGTGCCACATGTGGAGCAGATCTGCTTACCCCTCCGGAGCACATGAGATCAGCCCCAGTTTTTGTTGGGGTTCGTGTTGCTCAGTCTTGAGTTTCCTATGTTGTGTTTTGTGTATTATTGTTTGTGTGTTGGTCTTTTTTTATCCATGGCGTTGTCAGTAATTTTCGATTTTGAAGTTTGAATGTCCCTCTGGTATCTTTCGCCTCTCTTTTAAGCTAAACTTTAATCTTACTTACCCTCCAAGTCAAGAACCTTGTATTTGGCGCCTTTTTCAGATGCTGTTAATGCATTGCCTATATCATCCTGATCCTCAATTTTGTCAGTTAGAAAATGCTGACAGAGTATGGATGCTGCCTCTGGTTTCAAACATAAAAGTAGATGTTCACCGCTAATACCAGCCTAAATCAGTAAACAGTAAAATGACACAAAGGGTATTACAATACAAGTGTGAGACGTCGTACGTAACAACACGCTCTTTAAAATACTAGAAATACTTCGTAATCGTTTTTTTTTTTTAACATAAATGTCAATATTTATTGATATATTTACCCCAACTAAACTGAAAAAGGTCAAGTGAATGCTTACATTATTCATGTTCAGTGAATTGTATGTGTCTTAAAAGATATTGCATGCCTTTCACTTTCAAGTTTTTCTTTTCTCTCTCTCTTTCACATGATCGATTTCAGTAAAAGCCAATTATATTGGCAACTACAGCAAACTAATCTTCGTAGTGTGCGATAGATCTTTTTTACAGGACTGTTTACACTTTTTCTTGTTATTTTTTTTTTACCAAAATTCAACTCCGATTCTGGTTGTTATTTTGGACCTTGATATGGCAACCTTGCTTCGAATAACTGATCGTGGTAGCGTACTTACCTGGAGAACGGTATGCCATGAATTCGATTGCTGACTGATTATAACAAAATAATTTGCTTTGCATTCTCTTATCAAGTGGCATGTTAGCACTTGTGAAAGGGGTTATATTTGTTTGGGGTTCAAAAACAGCGTCTGATTAGGGTACAAATATGTCTTTTTGCCTTTTGTGTGAGTAAGTACGTTGAAAATCTTACTCGGTGTGTTGGAAGATTATAAAGCTGGGGATGGTCATATATCATTAGCATGTTATCGTCCTGAACATGCATGTTGAAGTTGTTGCTTAACGTTTTGGAATTATCATTCAACCAATAAGATAAAAGGTTTAGCAATAATTACTATACAAGCTTCTTGTTTACAAATAAGGAGGTGTGATATTAATGCCACTAAGACAACTACCCACAATAGGTTACAATATGTGTAAGTAATTAATTATAGATCACTGTTTGAGAAAACAATCCTGCTGTATAAAAGGCTCCGACAAGAAAAATGTGAAACAATTTAGACGAGAAAATAACGGTCTAATTTATGACAATTCAATTTACCAAAAACAAACATGACAGATATTAAACAACGACAACCACTGATAGGTATATTCTGGTGTAATTACACTTGTGGCAAATAGCGGAGTGTCGTAAATACCCTTCATATATTACTTTAAATTATATAACTTATAAAATATAACTTAGAAACTAAATCCACACTGGCCGAGTTTCTAGGATAAAAATAGAACTAGGCATCTTGATCTATGTCAGCTTGAAGGTAGGAACATTACTCTTTCGTTTATTTTAATTTGCATATTTTGTGTGTGTCAATTCGTGTGTGTTACGTTCGTCAAACACAGCAATGACAGTGTAGCAGTTAGTTGTATGCATGTATAAATTAACTTGATAAATTATGCTGACCCCGCTGATTATTGAATATGAGTTGATAAAAACAAACGTCCTTTTACAGCTTCAAGTTACCTTTTCTTCGGCTTCTCTCATAAACTGTTTACCAGACTCTGTCCAAATAGCTGGTACTGTTAAAACCCAATGAATTTCGTCATTGTACACCTCAATGTTTTTTTCAGATTTCAGAGTTTCTAACAATTGATTCTTCAGACATTTGATAACCAAGGATAATATTTCTAGAGCTGACATCTCTTTACCATTATCATCTTTGATCATGGTATGTCGTGTAAGATGCTTAATAAATAAATTGATAAACGAATAACGAATGTCATTTATGAATATATATCATTTTGTCTTCCCCGAGCTGTTATACTGCTTTGATTGAAATATACAGTGCTCCAGACTGAATATACCACCACTCAATAACCCTAAGATGAATAAACCGATAGGGTCGATAGCTATTTATATTGATGTTTATGTTTATATCGTGTAATGTGACCGTCGGCAGTTTCCGGGGGTCATCTCGATTGTTAATTAGATGGCTTCTAGACTAAAATACACATGAAATTCTGTTATATATAATCTAGTATATGCATTGTAACTGTTTATTTCATACTTATTGCAATTTGGATATGTGTTTCAGTATGTTATAAATCAAATATGAAAAATTGAGTCAAATCGGTGAACACGATTTTGACAGCAAGTGCCCCTTTAAAAAAAGAAAATACACTGGTAAAGAACACGCCATATCATTATCTCTATATTCTAAATAAAATATATCCAATGACATTCACAATAGACAAAAACCTAAAGACGAGTGACAACTGCTCACGTCTTGTCTGATTCAATAACCTAACAACAAAAGGATGTTATTTTAAAACTTAAAAAAATGCACATAATGGGGTGAGAACGGTGAAAGTGATTTCAATGAAAGTCTTATGATGTTTATGAAATTTCCTCTATATCCAAATATATAAAAATCAAACTAAAATTTAAATGATTAAAATAGTTATAAATTTACCTTTGTTTCCTGTAATAACATCTTAAACATACAAAAGTAATAATAATCATGTTGTTTCTCGTCTAAAGCAAACTGTGTGTACTTGTTTGCAGCATGGTATCCAAATGCCAGGAACTTTTTGGATTTGTCAAACAGGACAGCATTTGGTACTTTCCTCGATATACAGTTTGTTGAACCACATTTCCATATATGATTGACCCAGATATTCAGTGGATTTTTTTTATAAGCAGTTATGAAGGAACATGCACATGCTGAAAATGTTGTTCCAAAATCTATTGCTGCTACAAGTATTTTATCATGATTGCTCTGCATCTTTGGCAAATTTTAAGTCAGTAAGTTTTTATCTATCTCCTTGTTTGGTATAATTCTATCTGCAACAGATACCACAGATACATGAGATAATGCAATTTATTCCCAAAATTAATCAGACAGTGAACATCCATATCATTATATCTTAATCCAACTGGTTAAACATGTTGAACAATTATATATGGAAATTGTCAAAAGGCAGCTGCAAGAATACTGTGGATCAATTATTATTCGTTGGATACCAATTTTCGTGGGTTTCGTGGGTACAGGTGAACCAAAAATTCAAATGTTCAACGAATTAGAAATGTTAATTTGGCTTTGTATGCAGAGATTGGCAAAACCACGAAATCAAATATCCACGAAAATGCAAGTGTTCCTCAATCCACGAAAATTGATACTCACGAAAATAAATGAATCCACAGTATTCAGGAGCAAAATGAATCTCAAATCGTAGAGCTCTTAATCTACGATTTTCGACAATGCACCGATCGACTTTCCTGACCATACCTGTATCAGTTATATGAAACTGGCCCATTATATCGTGCTAGCATGTAACCAGTTGACCTTGTTTATCAGTAATGTTATCTATATTAAACACAAGATGTTGGTTTCTGAGCATTAACATGATACACAACATAGACCAACGTTAATAACAACGAGGATTTCGAAAATATCCTCCATAAGATGTATTCGACAGCTAAATTTTAAGTACTCAGATTCGTAAAACATTAGAAAAAATGCAAATTGAATAACGTAAACCAGCCAATCGCTATTTCTGGAAAACAAATCTGGGTGAACAGGTCATTTATATTACATTATTACACCACCAACAAGAAACCTTAAATGCTTTAGGTGTGAGCTGTGTTAGCGACAATGATTTACATCTATCAATGACACCAATCATCGTTTGGACTTCTTGTGAAGCACGAAAAATAGATGGTAAAGGGTTGGTAATATACACTATAGATATTTCTATGGTCATGGTACTAATTTGATTTCTTATTCGGAATCAAGCTTGCTCAATTCGTCGTCATATGTGACAACTTATAGCTAGAAGTATATTCAAACTCTTTCTTTCTAAATTAATGAAAAAATAATCGATTAAAGATCACTAAAAAGTAATGTTAAAATGCAAATATGTAAACGTAGAATCGACAACAAATGTCGTGTTCCGTTTCAGACGGGTGTTTAAGGTCAATCCACACATCTATGATCGGATTTCTGAAGACCGAATAGTTGTGTTCTAAACTAATAATATACAATGTTATTATAATAATGTATAAGTCATCGATAACAAATAACAAAAGAAACAATGATTTGAACATGCACAGGGTCTGTTTTTTTTAAAGCCATAATTCACATGGGTGGTAAAAGGAAGATAAATATCATTCCATTCATGTATTACAAAGAAACAAAAATGATTTTCACCGAGCATAATCATTAACGCTTGTCCTTGGATTATCCAATTACTGACAGTCAACAGTGATGATCAATTATGAATATTCAACCCAAACTATCAGATTCCAATTCATCAGCACAAGGAATAAAATTCCTCGTGCAATGATTCGACTTAAGGTGTTAATCAGAATAAAACATTACGTGTACTAGTCAATTAATGCACATTTGTATTAATACATGAATATATCAACATTTTAAAGAAAACGAAAACTATAACAATATGTATACGTACTACTTTGATCATTGTACACGTCACCTAGTCACCTAGTCACCTTTTTGTGTTTTCAACGCTTGCATGGAAGGAATATAACTTTTGCTTTTAAATATAAACTCAGGTATTCCGAGAAGTTTAAATTAGGCTGTACTCTCCGCTCTCGTCAAATAAAACGTATATACTTAATTTATATAATCAGATATGTGGGTACAACTTTTTCCATATGTAATAATTTGTTTTATAACTACAGTACAGCCGTTTATTAACAATTCAACTGTATATTCCATACAATAGTAGCATATTGATGTTTTATTCCTTAAATAATCAACGCTTTAGTACAGGTATTCTACTTAGAGAAAATAGCATCACATTATTCAAAGTTTTTTAATCGATGACCCCTTTTTAAAAAACTATGCTTGCCTACTTTTTAAAAGCACTTACAAATTTACAGTTGGTATAACATTCCTGTCCCAAAGCATTTCTACATATTTTAAATAATTTATATATACCGAATATTGGGATTATTTTGAAGTCTCGTCCTTTTGCTAAAAAGTTCATCGGAAGATACCAAGACCTTGTTGATAAATATTCCGTATCAACTTCACAAATAATACAAAATGGTCTTGAAGTATAGATTCTAGGTACTGACGTTATTTATCATCTTAATAACGCGATATAGTAATCTTTTTTTTGCCTTTGTAAATTATTACTTTTACTGTTTGCTCTATTTTTGGGAGTGTCCATTTGACGTGGCTTGGTACTTGACATTGTGTTATTGTGCTGTGGTATATTTTTGTATTCTTGTCTTTCATTTTTGCTAATGTGCTTTGTCTATATGCCTTTTTGTTTTTCTTTGTTGATGTATTTGTTTGTTTTTATAGTGATTGGAATTATAACACAATGTTGACTGCTGTACCCCTATTTTTTGAAATTTTTACCTATCATGCCTGTATGTTTTCTCCACACATCGTTATCAACATAATGGAATTGTATGCGACTGTCATACAAGTGAGAGATTTAGCTAGCTATAAAACCAGGTTTAATCCACCATTTTCTACATAAGAAAATGCCTGTACCAAGTCAGGAATATGACAGTTGTTATCCATTCGTTTGATGTGTTTGAGCTTTTGATTTTGCCATTTGCCCAAGTACTTTCCGTTTAGAATTTTCCTCGGAGTTCGGTATTTTTTTTATTTTACTTTTTTGTATTCGCCAATGTTTATTTCACACATATATATATATATTGTATATATAGGTGTATTATATGTTATTTCTGAGTGCGATGCAAGGAGCGACTTGTAACCACATATGGCTAAAAATTTTTGCATATCATAATTTCTTTATTTGCATATTAATTTGTTTTCTAATTAGGTGCAGTTGATTCAAAACATTTCCTTTGTCTATTTCAAATTGTATTATCTTGTTGTTTTGTTCCATAAATAATCAACACTTCAGTACAAGTATTCTAGTTAAAGACAAATGTATCCCATCATTCAAAATAAATACTAGGATTACAATTTTGTAGGCCATAATCAAGCTTCGTCTACAAACGACTCATCAATGACGCTCGAATAAAAAAGTTAAAAAGGCCAAATAAAGTACGACGTGGAAGATTATTGAGGACCCAGCATTTTGAAAGGTTTTGCCAAATACAGTTAAGGCGAACACAGAGGTGCTGACAACTGGGCTGTCTATTGATGACTTCTGTTTCTCAATTTTTTAAACCAATTCATAAACCACAGTGGGAACACACTTCCTGTCCCAGTGAGCTCATTCATAAACAAAATTTGGTCGGAAACGGTCATTTCGATCTTTAAAAAGTATGAAAAAAAATTACGTAATTTCAAATCTTCAGTCAATTTTATCTATTGTGGCAAATCCAGTAACATACTGACGTTTCACTTGCAGTCATTCAAGAAGTGGTCAGTCTATATTATGACTATTCAGAAGTAGGGATTTACCTGGACAGATTAACAACATACTAAATTGTCTGAAAAGCTACTGAACAGAAATGAACTGACTGCAATCGAACTGTCTGAGCAGCACTGAATTCACTGCAGTCGACAAATCTTCGAATTTACTAAAAGACTAAACATGACTTAATACATGTAATATGTAATGGTTCAGATTTGTCAAATGATGCTTAGATCAAAACTACTTTTCGGACTAGATTCCGTTTACTAGTGGTTTGCAGATATTTTAAATAGTTTATTCTTATTTGATAACGGCATGATGTTGAAGTGTATTTTATTCATCAATGGGATTTTTCAATAATACTTAAGTATTATACATATTAATGTTTTATATTAGAGTGTAATACAAGCAGCAACTTGTAACCACATATGGCCAGGAATGTGATCTAAAATCAACATATCAGGATGTTCAACCACTACTATATGTGGCAGCGATTTATAGTATTCTTTTTATATTTTACTTTGTATATTTTATAACTTAACCAATTTTCCATTTCAGCGAATTATTTCAAGAAACTATAAAAATATTTAATTTGATCTAAAGTTGTTAAAATATTTTGAAGACATTTTCTGAACTCATTACGCTATAGCTTTCCGTTTTCCAAATTTAGTCCCTGCTATGGTGTAATGAATAATTGACCATTGAAGCATGTGATTATCCTGTATTGAACCCCATACAGTTAGTACTGCAGTGCAGGTATGACGTTTTCATGTACTATTGGTTAGTACAGTGAGTACATTTAAGTTCTGCCGCATTGGACTTTTCGATGGTATTCATTGGGTAATTTGTACATTATTTTCTATTGGCTCTGTCTTGCTATTTCACTTACGGTTTTCATTGTGAGGTTTATATTATTTGGAACTTTCTTTGAAGTTAGATGTTATTTGTACCTGACTATTATTCTGGACCTTTTTGGACATTTTTGACAGTAAGTTTTATACATTTTGTAAAGTAGTGCTCTTTCCGATCATATATTTTGAACTATATTTTGGTTAGAATAATTCTCACATTTTTGTAACTAAGTGTTTAAGAGTACATCTCATAATTTACAAGCTTAGAATTATTACGATTTCATCTATTGTAAATATAGCTATTCTTGTGTATCTTTTGAAATCGTTGAATTTAATTTATTGTCTTGTCAAGATGACATAACACTTAATTTGTATATTTTTAATTGGCCTGAAATTGAATAGACTTTGTCACAGTATTTTGAATGTTCATTTTGAACATGGGTATTTATAATCGTATATTATTTTCAGAACATACCATATAGTGTCCTGGAATAATTGTATTAGTGTTTATGGCAGTGGATTTTGATAACTCAATCCCACATATTGGTAAGGATTAATTCCTTATTCTTTATAGATTGTTCATTTTGTAATAGTTGCTTTCACAGCCAAATTGGCAACGAAATTG